ATGACCTGCGGGGGAAGGATGCACCTGCTTCACCTCTCACTGGATCCCCGCAGGCACAAAAATCGTTTACACTTCATTGGGAACTTCACCGTCCTGCTGCTGCCATTCGCCGCAGTCCTCCTTCTTTCTTTTTTTTCTTCATCGGCGTGGCACGCACTGCAGTTGGGGCGTGTGATCGACCGCAGCAAGCACTGAGGCAATCGCGACCTCCACGGGGAAAATAATACAAAGGCAATTGATACAAGAAAAGCAAGGGGCATCCAAAAACGAAAGCGGATGGCGCCGAGCCCTGAAGGGGGAGAGAGAGGGCGCGCTACCACAAACATAAAAAAGAAGAAGAAGGGAAATAATACATGAATGCATCAAACCCCCACGAAGAAAGCACACATTATTTTCGCGTGTGTGGACGGGCCGCACACGTTCCCAGTGGAAGCCGGAGCATCGGTTTATTTGGCTCAGTAAAACGCCGCAAGAGCCCACAGCCCCAGAAGCAGCAAGAGCACGCGAGACCCATGCGCACTTACGGAACTCTCATCTTCATCGTCGTCTGACTCGACACCGTTGTTGGGTGTCTCGGATTCAATGATATGCTCTGGGCGGCTCATCAGAAAGACGTTCTTCACGGTCACGCTGCCGTCAACGCCACTCATGCCGTCGTCCGCCCCAAAGTAGAAGTGCGCGATCTCCTCGCTGTCCTTCTTCGCCAGCGCCGCGGCATCCGCACCCGCAAGCTTCAGTGCCTCGCCGTTGATGTAGAAGGAAAAACTGCCCTCCTGGAGTGTGAGAAGCACGCGGTACTGTTTCTTGGACTCACACCTGGCGGCCTGCGCCACCTTCTCCCCAGTCCGGCTCTTCACCACCCAATTGTTGTCGCCGCTGCACAGCAATCCAAAGCGGTTGCCCGCACTGTCAGTGCCGTTGAGCCGCACACCAAGCACGGAGGCGCCGCCCGTCGGGTCATTGACGGTCACTGTCGCCAGCAGAGCGAAGTTGTAGTTTGCGAAGTGGTACCGCTGGTTCTGCCCCTGCGCGCCCACGGGCCACTCGGCGCGTGAATTGGACCCGCTGAACTCAAAGCCGTCCGCGACCTTCGTCGCGCCACTCACCGCTGCGTCCACGCAGAGGTACTCGTCGTTCCAGTGGCTGGCGGAGCCTGCATTGGACAAAAGCCCAACACCGCGCGTGGAACCGTCACACGCGCCAGCCACACCCAAGGAAGTGCAGGACTTGGAGAAGTCCTTTTCAAGCTTATCCCACTGCGCCAGCACCTCCTTTATGCGCTCCAGCTGGTCGTCCAGACGCACAAGCACAAAGCGTTGCTTGTCGACCTCTTTCCGTTCGTAGAGCGAAAACAACTTGTCTTTTGCGTACAGGAGAGTGCTGGAGGCCGCCTTGTAGTTGCTATTGGCAGAAATCGGCCCCACGTCGAATATGCGGGTCCCATCGGAAAGCCAGAGGTGGATCTGGTTGGCGTACGAACTGCTTTGGGGAAACACCGGGTGCGTGAGCAGGAACACCCTCTTCCCAGCAATCGTCGCAGCCGCAAGGCCGTCCTGGCTGCCGTGCCCGGTGCGCTTCGGCGAGTTGCCCCACACGCGCGAGAGTGTCCCGAGGGCCTCCACCCACGTCTCCCCCAAATTGCTCGACAAGAACACCCGGCGCGCCCCATCTTTGCAGGAGGCCATCATGAGAAACTTTCCGTCTTGGTACTCCACGAGGGTCGTGTAGGAGCAGCCCGAGTTGGCCACGCCCTTCGCCATGTACCCCTTTTTGTCGTCACTCGAGAGGTAGACAACGGTGGCAAGGTATTTTCCCGCCTCCTCGCTCAGCGCCTCCATGGGGAACACGACGGTGCCGTTGCCCATCACAACCCCGGAGCCTGCGCCCGTCATAAAAAACCTCTCAAAGTTATTCCCAAGGTCGTGAGTGAGGTACGAAAACACCTTTCCGGAATTACTCCACTTGATGGACTTGTCGCTTTGGCCGCTGCCCTCCGTGGGCGTGCCGGTGTACAGGACAACAGCCGAATGCTCGTCGGCCCAGTCGGCACTCACGGAACTTTTCTTCTCCTCTTGCTCCTTGAAGAGGAGGTAGACCCTCCCCTCCTTCACGGCCATTACGGGGTTGAAGGAATAAAGATAGGAGTTCACCAAACTCTGGCCCTGAGCGACAAGGTGCGTCTCCCACTTATCCTGCTGCTTCCACTCACTCGTCAGCGCGTGGCGCTCCATGATGTGCGTGATGGCTCCTTCGCAGTCACTGCAGCGGGCTTGGGCTGCGGCCACCAGAACCCCGTCGACCTCCGCAAGCGAGGGAGCGGCGTACTCGTAGTTGCCCTGCTCCTGCGACGCAAACACATCCACTCCGTCCGGCAGCTGTAGAGCCTTCTGTTTGGCCTCAGCTTCGCAAATCGGCACGAGGAGCAGCAGCGCCACCGCAGAGAAAAACAGGTGCCGGGGCATGTTGGATCCTTGAAGCGCCCACTCTCTCTCTCTCTTCCCTTTCCTCCTTGCGGTGGGTCCGCTCAGGCCGCGACGGTTGTGTGTGTGCGTGTGTGTGTTGCTGGCGGTTGTGGCAGCTGCAGAGCACACAAGGCGCAC